GTTTTAGTGGATAAAATCTTACTCGATAAGTAAGCGATAATGTTGAATTTTACCGGTAAGTGTTTAGGTAAACGGCCCCTTAGAACGTTTACTATGTTAAGGTTTTTCATAGCTTTTTCCTTACATATTTTTGTCACCTCAACAATTTAAAAATCTCAACATATCTCCAGAATGTCAAAAGCCTGACTCATGTTTTTTCATAGCATTTTCAAATTTTTTAGGTTCAGCCATTTTAACTTTATATCATTTATATTCTTAATTATAAAAATCAATATATTAAAAATATATCATAACTTTTTAGTATATTTTAGATGAGGGTAAAGGCTCTAACTCCAATTGTTTTCGGATGTAAATGGTGCTAAAGCTTGACAAGGTTTACTACCCTAACAAATAATGTTCGGAATTGATTGTGAACGAATGTGGTGAGGGTGGTTTAAAGAGATGTGTGTGCCTTGGTCCCGAAAACCGTTTTGTTTCATGTGCAAGGTTTCATGGCACGTTGGATGTATGTGAGAAGAGAATTAAAGAGGCTATGGATCAAACTCGACGTTGGTTTTGATGTTGTTTTAGAAAATAAATGATGGATGGATGTCAGGGATGAACCCAAAAAAATTTTCAAACGTTGGTACCATTTGACTATAAGAAAAAACTATAGAGAAAGAATTTTAAACAATAACACCGGTTGACTATAAGAAACAAATATACAGAATTTTTTTCAATCGGCGACATTATTTGACTAAGAAAATAACACTAATAAAATTTGAATTTGGGTCTGGAGTGGAATAAAAGTTTTGCAAACTAACTCTACCAAATAAAACTTGTTCTCATTGTAGTTTCAAAATGCATACGATGACACACAACAGATTAATTCGGTTGCACCTTTTACCAACATAATTTTTTTACCCTTCAATAAAGAAATAATACGATGACACGTGCTACCATAACCAACATGATAGGTCCGCTCATGATGGATGTGGTGCCCCAATTGCAACCATTGTGTTGTAGGTTTGTTCCCCACTACTTGTAATAATGACAAGTAAATTTATATTCAATAAAAATATAATATAAATTTATATGTTTTTGAATAAATGCATGAAAAGAACGTGTATTGAATAAAGTATAAAAGTTGACTTGAGGTCAACACACATTGCTTTCTTTAAAGAACTAACAGGAAGTCATTTGCTGTCATTGATGGGGGACTTATTTTTTTTTTTTTTTTAAGGGTGTTCGGGCCAAAGCCCGACTAATCCCCGGCAATTTTGGAGGCTAAACATGACCTCACTTAAATGTCGCCAACACTTCCCTCCTAGGGCTCGAACTCGGGTTCATGACTATGACATGCCCAAGCCTTTACCACTAGGCTAGAAGGTCTTTGACGGGGGCCTTATTATTTACTTCAACTTATATTACTTTATGCATAAAAAATTGTTTTTAAGAGTTTTTGTCAAATGCTTTATAATATATTATAGATAACATTTACATCATTTCATTCAAATGACTGATAAGCACTTAACAGATAAACGTTTTAATAAACAACCCTAAACAAACTCAAGTATAGGTAATTTTTTCATTTCCTTACAAAACCACACACAAAAAACTTAATTGGTTTTTATTATTAAAAAAATTCATTGTAATTGTTTTATATGTAAGTATTTTTTTTTATAGCTAAATTGTTTATTTAACTTTATATTGTTTTAATGGAAGTTACATCGAGAAAACAAGGAAACTTCCAAAAAGTTGAGGGACTGAAAGCGTAATTAAATTATAAAAGTTGACTTGAAGTCAACACACGTCTCTTTCTTTTTATATATATAATTTGAGAACTCAATTTGTTCTTCACACASAGACTTATCCAACACCACATCTTCTGTAAGTCATCCATTCGTTTCTTTTCTTTTTAAATGCTTGTTTATTCTTTCATTTTAGTTGATCTAAGAAACGCCCGACTGTTAATCCATCTTTTAAAGCTACTCTTTTTTAGTTGATTTTTACATGTGTTTAACACAGCTTTCATCATTCACAATGGCTTCTGCATCCGTTCAACGGCCTTGGTGGACGTATGATGTCTTTGTAAGTTTTAGAGGTGAAGATATCCGTAGAAGCTTTATGGATCATCTTTTCAAAGATTTAGAACAAAAAAGAATTCATGTGTTTAGAGATGATACGGATCTCACCCTAGGCGAAAATATATCTCCTAATCTCGACAAAGTCATTCAAGAATCGAGGTTTCTGGTAGTCGTCTTCTCTAAAAATTATGCATCTTCGTCATGGTGTTTGAGGGAACTTGTAAAAATCCTCGACTGCAAGGAGGCGAGAGAGCACAAGCATGAGGTTCGAGTGATCTTCTATGACGTGAAGCCTGATGTGGTGAGGAAACAGACTGGGAGCTATGCACAAGCGTTTGAAAAACATGAGATTTCAAATAGAGCAGAGGTTGGTAAATGGAAAGAAGCTTTATCCATGGCTGCCAACTTATCTGGATGGGATCTCGAGGACATGGCAAATGGGTAAATTTTTTCTTTACTRTAATGATTTAYATCTCTARTCAAATTAACAAGGGGYCRTATCATTTGAATTTCATTAAGWAGYTGYTTTTCTCCCAAACCAATTCATCTAGTAACTTTATTAGAACTAATTCTATAYATTTGGGGTTCTTTCTGGTCAACAGGTTTGAGTCCAAATTCATTGATAGCATCTCCAAAGAAATCCTAAAAGCATTATCTCATGAACCTTTGCATGTCGGCCAGAACCTGGTAGGGTTGGATGCACGCATAAAGAAAATGAACTTGTTACGATTTGTCGGRTCAGATAAGGTACASATGATAGGGATATGTGGTATTAGTGGAATAGGAAAGACAACCCTAGCCAAAGCTATTTATAACTCGATGTGTATCCACTTTGAGGAAAGTAGCTTTTGTGAAAATGTCCAAGGAGTCGCTAAGCAACAAGGTCTAACTCAAGTCCAAATGCAACTTATTGGTAAAATCATGAAAGCAAGAGTCATAGAGATAACAAGTGTTAGTGAAGGAATTACGGTAATAAAGCAAAGGATGCCAACGAAGCCAATCCTACTTGTTCTAGATGATGTGGATCATTGCGATCAGTTAGAAGCACTAGCGGGTTCACCTGTTTGGTTTTTTCCAGGAAGTTTTATTATTTTCACCGGTAAAGACAAGCAATTGCTAAGGTCTCATAAAGTGGATGAAATCTATGACATGGAGTTTCTCGATGATTTTGAATCTCTTGAGCTCTTTAGTTTGTATGCCTTTCATGAAAAACATCCTACTGAAGACTTTCAAGAACTTGCTCTGCAAGTTGTGAAGTATGTGAAAGGCCACCCCCTTGCTCTCAAGGTCTTGGGATCTTTTCTTTACGGAAAAACTGTGAAGGAGTGGAAAAGCGAATTGGATGAGCTCCAAGTATATCCTAATGAAGAGATACAACGGGTGCTTCGATTAAGTTTTGATGCGTTAAGCCCTCAACAAAAAAACATCTTCCTTGATATTGCATCTTCATTCATTGGTGAAAATAAAGATAATGCAACAACTATACTAGATGGTTGTAATTATCATACAGATACAAATATCAAAGTTCTAGTTGACAAGTCATTACTTGTCGTTTCTAATGATTTGCTTGAAATGCATGACTTGATCCAAAAGATGGCAAGGGAAATTGTACGCGAAGAGTCAAACATCCCTGGGAAGCGAAGCAGGTTGTGGATTTCATCGGAGGTTTATGATGTATTGAATAAAAACGAGGTAAGAAGTGGCATATGATTATTTTTGGTATACGACACTCTTTTCGATCTAAATTATATGTTCCATATTCTTTTTACTTGGATCTAGGGAACAGAAGCGGTTGAAGTCCTTCACCTTCTGGTAAGGGAATATTATCCGAAGGTTCACATTGATGGTAAGGGTTTTGCACAAATGAAGAATTTGCGGATCCTAAAAATATATGATGAAGAACTTAGACACCGTTGGCATGCATTTGATTTGAAGTTGTGGAAGGAATCTAAGGTGAATTACGATGGGAAGTTGAAATTTTTATCAAATAAGTTAAGGTTACTTTATTGGCATGGATTCCCTTTCAAGTGCTTCCCTTCAGATTTCTATCCAGAAAACATCATTGCCATCGACTTGTCTTACAGCCACATAAAAAATCTTTGGACATCGCCTAAGGTACTTATTTTGCTTTGTATATGCATTCCTCCTATGTTTTTAATACCTGGAGATGTAATTAAGTGTTTTCCTGTTTATCCTTGATGTTAGTGTTTTGAAAGGTTGAAAGTGATGAAGCTAAGGCATTGTCGTAACCTAACAAGTACCCCCAATTTCACAAGGATCACAAATCTCGAAGAGCTCATTCTTGAAGGTTGTGTGAATTTGGTTAAAGTCCACCCATCCCTTGGGATGCTCAAGAAGCTTGTTGTTCTAAATATGAAAAACTGCAAATGTTTTAGGAGATTCCCTTGCAAAGTCGAAATGGATTCTCTTGAAGTTGTGAATCTCTCRGGTTGCTCAAAACTGGACAAACTTCCTGAATTCTTTGACACAATCCAGACTTTGAAAGAGTTTTGTATCGATGGTACCGCCATAACGRAACTTCCTTCTTTTGTATTCTCTCAAAACAACCTTCAAGTATTGGGATTAGGTCGACATGAGAAGAGGATTCGGTCTAGATGGTGGGGTTCAATTTCTCAAACTTCATGGTTTCCAAGTAAGATGCAACATCCCCAAAGTCTGGTAATGCCTTCATTGGCGAATTTACGTTACTTACGAGAATTAAATCTTAACGACTGCAATATATTGGAAGTGTCTGATAGCATTGGAGGCTTATCATTTCTAGAATGTCTATACTTGAATGGGAACCACTTTACTAGCTTACCTGGATGTTTAACTCAACTTTCTCATCTTCGAAATCTTTTTGTTTTGGGTTGCAAGAAGCTGGAAATGCTTCCAGAACTTCCACCTAACCTTCGGATTCTTGACGCGTCTTTTTGCACCTCCTTGCATCAACATCCACCTAACAATTTTTATATTCAATCATCCACAAGCATGCGTTTTATAGGTTGTCCAAACTTGTTTAGGAATGTTAGTATTGAAAGCCAGTTTTGTATGTGTCAGCCTCCACTTGATCTTAACTCATCTATAACCTCCCATAGTTGTAGAAACCTGATTTCTTCTTTGCTTCAATTTCTGGAGTTCCTCATTAACATACGTGAAATCTTCGGTGGACAAGACAATTACTGTTTGGATATAAAATATCATGGAAATAGAATTCCACAATGGTTTACATATACAAGTATGGGAAATCACTTACATGTTGATTTGCCTCCAAATTTCTGCTACAACAAATTGAGGGGATATGGATTTTGTGTTGTTTTGACATCGAAAAAGTCTTGTCGTCATAAATATTTCCACAATCCACCAAGGTACCATGTGGACAACTTTGATGGGAATTGTTTGGTTTGGCAATCATTTAATTGTCACTTTGGAATCCGTGAGTCAGATGTCATATGGTTTTCTTTTGAGAGTTGGATTCATAGTAAGCATCGGCATCGGAGTTGGCAGAAGGCAAAGAATTTTGTTACTGTTTCGATTGGACACGATGATGATTTTGAGGTAAAAGAATGTGGTTTTAGACTTGTTTTTGACGAGGATATAGAAGAAGAGACGAATTTCAGTCTCATTCAGGAGTTCCAGACTCCAACACAAGAAGGAGGTGCCATCAAAATGAGGAGGAATAATCAACATTTCAATTGGTTGTGGTAGGTAGTCTGATTAACAAAGATGTATTGTGGTGATGCATATGTAAAAGCTTGGATGTCATTGATTGTAATATAATTTTGTCATTTTCCCTCACAATTATAATTTGTATTCAGTATCATAACTATATGTAATGAAAATTGTCCCTGATTTATATTCGTAATTTGTTTCAATTAACTCTAAATAATTTCCAAATAAATATCTTTCAATTAATTTTTAACATGTTTGTTTAAATCATGTAACATTACGATCTAACCTATCAACTAGTTTTTACCAAATATGACTCATTCATCAGCTACTTTAGTAGGCAACAGTTTGTTTTTCGGCTAGTTTATCTGTAACGCCCCATTCCAAAAGAAGGGGGAGTTACTTCAAACATAATGTAACATGTATATACAACCTCCAAAATAAAGTCTCCAATAGAATTAATACTCCAACAAAAATGATTTCAGACGTCTCCAAATAATTCAACTAAAACCAAACATAGTCTTGAAAAAAAACGCTAGTCTAATTACAAATGAAAGAAATCAAATACTAGCACAAACATCAATAACCTTCTTATAACCTCTTGCAATTAAACCTCGTATACCCTCCTTCTCGAAATCTTTGCAACCCCCTTTAATTACCTGCCGTGAGGAAGAAAAGGAAACACGGTTGAGCCAAATGCGCGGTGCACGGATAAAAAATTATAGTACAAAAAAGTATTGCTAGCATGCAAAAATTGGGTTCAAGATGTAAGGCAATACGGGTACAAAATCTTAAAGAAACCATTAAATATCGTAACCAAACAAGTAAAATATGAAGGGACAAATCGAGCTCGAAAAACACATACACTTGTATATCAACTGATAGAACAAGTGCCAGACATATGGCCACACAGGCCTGTCCATTGGACTGCAGACCCACATGTTATTACGAGTGAATGGAAATACGTGGTAAGGGACAATTTGAATGAACATGAGTTAAACGCAAGCTTACTGGTTCATAAACATATTTAAACGAATTATATGAACGAAAAGGTTTAGGAATCCGTACCTTGAACTTCACCAAGCTTATCAATTCCCCAAGTCTACACCTTTATTCCCAACCTAAAATTACCCAAGCTTTACTATTAATCCTAATTGATAACTTAATGACATAAAACGAAACAAATTCGATTTTACGACTATTAAAATAACCAAAACCCAACCATATTCTATGAATCTTAAATACTAAAATGGAAGCAATATAAAGAAAATGGAACGTAACTTGTGAAAAGCTCCATAATAGGGAAACGCATGGCACTCATCAAATATATGCACCAACAACTTAATTTCTATTTGGGCAGCCCCTTCCCACACACAACAGTAGCACAAACAGAAAAGTCATGCCACACCGACGATCGTTTGACCCGTTTTTCCGGCAATATACACACCTCTTTTGATGATAAAATAACTGAAACTCTACCTACTAACTTTAAGCAATAACTATGACTAATTTTGAGGGGGAAACGAGCAGAATTTTGGGGCTCTATTGACGAACCACATGCTAATATTGACTGAATTGATGACTTTCGAGCCACCRAAATGACTTCGATTTGACAAACATAGTTTTAAATTCACTCGTGATTTAGGTAAAAGTTAAAATAAACCAACTTAATTAATGATGAATCATATTTATGTTAGCAATCCACGAATTATGTGGTGTAAAAAAAACATCATGAAAACATTTCCAACAGATTCTTAAAAATGAAGATTTTTGCTCCAACAGTTCCCTAAAACCTTCTTCAAAATGGGAAAAGTATGAGTCAGAAAACGAAATTCTCCAAATAGCATCTTCAATAAGTTCTCCAAAAATTTCCAAAATGGAGAATCAAAATTCAAAATCTCCAAAAGGTATTGCATTCAACACTAACAGCTTCTTCATTTTAGAGATCACAACAATAATTATATCATTAAAATATTCCATACATTTAATAAAATATTAGTTCTCTTACCTAAAATTTTAATTTCAAAATTTCTTATTGCTGGAATAAATAAATAAATAAATATTTCTCTATCATTGTAATCATTTTTGAAGAGTTTTCTAAATTTGGAGATTTTTGCACCCTCCCTCCTACTTTCTCCATGTGAAATCCTGCGAAATACCAACCACACTTACAATATTCAAAATCCTACGTTTATAGATTTGAAGGGAATCCCGAGATTTTCAAATCCGGGAAATCCTTCAAACCAAACATGGGATTRGAATGAAATTCATTTCCAAATCTCACCAAATATAATATGATCCTACAAACCAAAGGAATAACGTAATCTTTCTGTYAATTGTTTTCAAAAGTTCATAAGCCAACGAATAACAAAAAGTAAATTTTGATGCTGATAAATAAAAGAATCGATTTAAATTTTCTATTCATCACCATTTTCCTAAATAACGTACTCCAATTTTCAAGGGTTTAACGCGTTTAAGTTCAAGAAGAGCATAACCAATTCTTACCAACTGATTTAAGTCAATACGTTGTTGATATGTTGCCTGACTGCTAGATTACAAAGGAATGAAGAACTTGTACAAATAAAGAACCATGATCAAAGACTACTGCATACTAACATCTGGAAATCGTTATATATATATATCTATATATATATATAGAGGGATGTTATTCTACACCCTTTGCCATTCCTACACCCTATACAACCCTCATCTCAACCATTCAATTTTTAATCAATTAATTGTTTCATAATATAAAGTATTAATCATAATTAATAAAGTATTATTCATATTCCATAAATATTTAAATCATAATAAATGAACTCCAATCATTTCTATAAATATCTCAATTAATTGGGTTGCAAAGGTTGTACAAATGCACAAGGTTGTAAAAGAAATATACCCTATATATATATATATATATATATATATATATATCTCAAAGGAAAAAAATGGTCTAAGATTTGCATTGTAAATGTATATACATGTATACCTTTGCTCAATAATGGAAAATTGATGTGTTATAAATTTATTAGAAAAGTACTCGTCCAATACAGCAAGATATATCTTCATTATAATCTTTCGTTTTATTTTTTTGTTTCTATTGATATACTACGATTTATGTGGTTTCGATAAAGATAATGTTTTTACTTTTGGATAAAAATAAATTTGAAGATTTCATAAAGATTTGAAAAACATATATCGATATTAATATCAATATAAATATTTAAAAGTTCTCGTTTTTTGTACAATTTCTTTATTTCAATTTTTTATTATAATTTAATTTAGGTTTAATAGCAAAGTAATTTATTTTTGGCTTAACAATATAATTTTTACAAAGATAATGATTCTGTTAGAACTCAATGATTATCCAAATTATATTTTAGATTTTTGATATTTAAAATAAGATGTTTATAATGTATTTGATTATTTTTATCTGCAGTTAGTTACACGAATTAAAAAATAGAGTTTTAATAATTTGTACTTATGCATAGGAGTGTAAATGATACGAGACAACTCGCGAGCTACTCGAGATCGACTCGGTCAAAGCTCGGTCAACACTCGACTCGAATAGGCTCGACTTGAACTCGAGCTCGACTCGACATATTAACGAGTCGAGTCAAACTACTCAATACTCGACTCGAAAAGCTCGTGAGATACTCGATTATTTTATATATAATTAGTTTTAAAGTATATAATCAGGTTTTATGATAAAATTTGTAAAATATAATTAATATAAATGCCTTATACTTTTAGATATTTAAACAAAATTATGCTTTTTTTAATTATAAAAATTAATCAATTTTTTTTAATTAAAATCACAATTAAAAAAGACAAAGAAAAACTATAAAAAAAGTTAGTGAAATTGTCTCATATTGGAAGATAGATGGTAAAGGAAGAAAGAAAAGATGTTATAAAAAGAGAGGAAGATGAATGAAATTTTCTAACTTTGTCTTTTTGATGATGAAGTTTGAAGTTGATCTCTTTATTTTTATAAAAACTAAGAGAACACCTTTAAGTTTTAAAATTTATAAGAGAAATACCCTAAAATTTTATAAATTTCAATGAGTGAGCTTGGTTCGAACTTGATTCAAGTTGCAGTTCGAGCTTGATTCGAGCTTAGTTCGAGTTCGAGTCGAGCTCTGATTTTTACTACTCGTGAGTTTTCGAGTCGAGTTCGAGCTTGGAAATTCGGTTTCGAGCTCGAGTCGAGTATAGTGATACTCGAGCTCGACTCGGATCATTTACACCCCTACTTATGCACAATTTAATTGTAATCTTAAATTTTAAGTAATACGTATTAATACACAGTACTTCATATATAAAGAATGGTTTTTAAGACTTTTTTGTCAAATACTTTATAATATAGTATAGATAATTGCAAGTGTACAGATGTGCAGCAACCGTAACAAGTTTATGTGAACTTATTATAAATTTTATATTACAATTAAAAAAAGTGCAACGTTACGTAAACATAAAATATATTTTACAATTACTAATTTACGATTTATTATATATATATATATATACACTACAACAAAAAGAGGTTTATAGGACACTTTTTTGGGACATTTTTCGGAAACCGTCCTATAAAAAGGCTAATAGGACACATTAGTTTATGAGTCCTATTTGATTTAATCTTATATGACACTTAATTTTGATGTCTTATTAACATATCTTGACGTCCTATCATGTAATCTAATACGACACTTTTGAATGTCATATTATTTTATGGTCTAATAGGACACTTCTAAGTGTCGTATTATTTTAAAGACTAATAGGACATTTTAAAGTGTCATTATTTTAGAAATTAATAGGACATTTTAAAGTGTCATTATTTTGGAAATTAATAGGACATTTTTAAGTATTAGTGTTTAAAAGCTAATAGGACACTTAAAAGTGTCCTATTAGAGTTTAAAATGATATAAATAACATATTAACATCAAATCTAGRTCCAAATATAAAAAAGCTATTAATATATGATAATTTACTTAATAAGCCCATTTTATTAAACCTTTTGACTTGGGCCTAAAAAAATTGTTACCAGTCCACTAAATCTCAACCGGCTCCAGTCCACTAAAAAAATTGTTACCAGTCCACTAAAAAAATTGAGTCACAGACAAACTCACCTGATTTCACTCTCGCCTTCGCCTCTCGCCTCCGCCTCTCGCCTCTCACCTTCGCCTCTCGCCTCGCTCACAGACGAACTCACGAACGGAAACTGATTCACGAATCGAAATCGCAATAGACCTTGACTCAATCGGCTCTCGCTCTCTGCCTCTCTCGGGTTTCGACTATCGACCGGCTCTCTCGCTCTCGCTCTCGCATTTGTGGCTTGTGAGGTTAGGGTTATTTACTATACTTTTGAATTTCATATTGCAAACAAGTGATGCAATATTTCATATTGCTTCTATACATCTGCATTAAAAGAGATTCGTGATCAAAATTGGGTGAACATTGAAGAATGCGAAGAACTCATGACAATGATGAACTTAGTTACCTGCAAATGACTTTTCACATGAGCGATGCTTAGTCCTCTGACATTCATTAGCTGCAGAACTGACTTACTAAGCAGCTTCTGTAAGTCATGTATACATATATTATAATATATTGTAAGTCATGTATACATTCAAGGAGTTGCTTCTGCAGTAAAGCCAAAAACATTTCAAGTTTTGACCAACTAAAATCGTTGTTTAAATTGAATGCATAATTGATCAAGCATCACCAACTAAACATCTAATTTATTCAGATATTTAAGTCTTCCATTTTTTGGAACCAATGAAAGATCTAAAAAAACAAGTCAACTGGTTAGGTAGTGTGTCCTACTTATGAGACTTACAATTGCACCAACTGTAGGAATGATTGAAAATATTACAGATCTGAAGTTTAACGTTTTCAAATCCTTAGTGGCTAAGCCCATTGGTCAGAAGGTCTAAAATTACCATGAACCCTGTGTACTAGTTGGGAAAAGGTACTGTAAACCACATAAAAGGATAAGAAAACTATTATGACTGTGATTGCTAAATGTACCGAAGTAATTTACAGAACTTACTCTCTTGTCCACCAAGCCTTTCGATAGCATTYACAAATGCGTGATGGAGTTCTGGAGTCCAACGAAGTCTAGGCATTTTGGAGCGAACATATTGCCTAACTGGACCTTTTCTATTCTTTGATGAACTTCCTTCACCAGTCTTCTCATCATCCTCAAGACATAAATCAATATACTCTTCGCTGCTTGCTTCTTCATTCAAGTCAAAAGATGTCACATGCTTATTTATTGAAGAAATAGATGATGTGTTTTCTCCATACTGATCAAAACTATTTTCCTCATTACCCTCTAGCATATCCAAATCCCCAGACATGATTCTCTCTCTCTCTCTCTCTCTCTATATATATATATATATATATCTACAATCAAAATGTTGAAGTTCTAAAGCCGAACTAATCCTGCAATTAGTAATCAAGAAAAATTAAGTACACTTTGTTGTTTATACATTATATAAGGTAGCAGATGGGAAAAAAAGTGAAGGATAAACATGGATCAAGCTATTGTAGAGAAAATAGATGATGGTTAATTTTACTAGATTATGAAGGCATGCAGAAATTTTAATTCTAAATATAACTTCTCGTGCTATGTACACACACATAGAATTAGCACCTTCTTTTTCACTCATTGGTATACTGCACCTACCATGAGTAGCATACCTAATCTAGTAGTTAAGAATTTGAATACGATATTTAGGTCTTTCATCTACTTGCGTAATCGCTGGTAACATAAACACCAATTTTGCTTGGTTCCAAACTTTTGGATATAATAATTTGAGTCTTTAGGAGAGTTTCTTCTGAACTTCAATATTTATGAGCTATCGTATTAATCAGTCTCTACTGTTGTACCCATATGTGTTTTGAATTGATCAGATCAAACGAAGTGTAATGACGAATGAAATTYWGGTTGATGAACTAAAAGTCCACTACAAAAAAAATCTTGCATGAAATTCAGGTTGATGATTGATTTAATCCACATGATATGAAAATATTAAGCAAAACATTAATGGTATAATGGAAAT